AGAAGGAGAAGGAGAAGGAGAAGGAGAAGGAGAAGGAGAAGGAGAAGGAGAAGGAGAAGAAGAAGGAGAAGAAGAAGGAGGAGAAGCAGCAGCAGCAGGAGGAGGAGGAGGAGGAGGAGGGGGAGGAGGATGAGGAGGAGAAAGAAAGAAACTAATAATAATAATAGGGATATTTTGCCCTTTATCTTTTTTAATATCTTAGACTGTCAGTAAATGATGGTTTGGAGGACAAGAAGATACCTGAAACTCTAATAATTGGTCTTTCCAATCTTAATTAGGCTTTAGTTCCCTTACTAGGATTATGAAACTTGTTTGAGTATTCTTTCTTAAAAATAACTTAATCAGGAAGTGACATTAAATTCTGTTTCAATGTAATGAGAAAATAGAAATATTTCTATTGTCATTAAGGTGGCATTTCACCAGTATATCTCTATCTATTCTCTATTACGTCTTTGGGGTGGTATGTTGTTGTAAGAATAGACAATAGCACAAAAATATGGCAGGCCAGATTTTCTGAGGGTTACCTGCTTTGCAGATTCATAAACTCGTGTTTGAATAATTGGCTCTCAAGGGTAGAAGAAAAATCCCAACAAACCCTCCACCTTTGCCAAAAAGAAAAACCTAAATCTTATGAAGCTAAACTGTCAGCAAACAGGTCCACTGAAATTGCCATGGGGGCAACTCCAACCCAGAGCTGGGTCCATGGAAAGCAGTAAGGTACCTGCATCAAACCAACACCCATAAAGGTGCTAATGTCATTTGAGGGCAGTTTCACCTCTATATCCCATAGATTATTTTAGATCAAATATGAGTTAGTAGTCAAACATTACCAAACACAGAAGATAACCCACCATGAAGGAGATGGTTCACAGCAATCTCAAGAACTTCAGACATGGTTATTATCAGAAACATGACAAGAAAAAGCTATGTGTAAAATAGAGAATGAAACACAAGTAATAATAGTAATAATAATACAGATCTATGATGGTGTATTCTTGCAAAATAACCAAATACCGTATTTAACATTTAAATATACCTTTGAAGCTAAAAGTACTATGGAGAGTATAGGTACTATATTAGATACTGTGCAATAGAAACTTGTGAAGCTAAAAAATAGAATGCAAGAAATTCACTGGTCTGCCACATAGAGAAAAAAAGATAATCTGCAAGAACATAAGGGACAAAGATAAAATATGGAGTTTAACATGCTTTTAACTAGTGTGATCCTTGCTAATCAGAATACCAAAATTTTCCATTGCCTTATTTGACACCTCCACTGTCCCCACTTTTTTTTTAAAGACAAGGTCTCATTATGTTTCCCAGGCTGGCTTTTATCTCCTGGCCTCAAGTCATCCTCCTGCCTCTGCCTCCCTAAATGCTGGAATTACAGGTGGGAGTCACCATGCCAGGTGTCTTTCACTTTTTAATGATAGCTTAACTTCACCTGATGCCTCCTATGCCACTAACTTTATAGGAAGCTTTACCCACTTTGTATGACTTGGTTTAATTTATTCAGCTTAATGGTCCCTTTAACCAATATTGTTATAAATTTATGAAGCTTCAATTCTAGCAAAAATAAATTGTGTACATTCATCAAAATGTGAGGCACACCTATGAAAAGTGATTAGGATACCCAAGAAATCTTAATTAAAATCAGAAAATTAAATATGAGTTCTGTGTTTTCATTTATCTTTTTTCTCTGTGGTGTTTTGGATTACTTTCTCTGTGGTTATTGAAGATCAAAATGAAGCGCTATCTTTTTCCTCGAATAAAAGGGTGATTTATTTAGGTTGTACAGGAAAAATACAATATAATCAGTGTTTAAGTGGCATAAATCAAGATTTTGTGTTTTTTCTTCTCTTTCAAGTACTCTCTTCTTACTTCTTTAGTCCATCAAAATCCTTTTAACAACATACTCAATAGCCAGAAAAGGGAGTGAGCTGAGGACTGGGTCAATTCTTCAGCTCTCAGTAGATGTATCATAGAGTAATTCTGATTGATGCCACTTCTAGGTGGTCTTTGATAATTTGATTTAAAGTTTCATAAAGATAATTGACCTGTGCTTTTGCCATTTCACAGTTTGGTGGTAAAGGGAATTCTCTTTGTTTTAGTTCAAGGTAAAGATTGCTCGGTTTTGTTATTGTTGTTGTTTGCTTGTTTTTGCATCAAAGGAGCTTCAGGGGAGAGCACGATGTCACTACTTGTTTTCCTAAGATGTTAACAAGGCCAGGGTTGTATGACAGGCACAGATCCTTTGTACTTAAAGCTATTCATTTGCCTCATCAAAAGGAATAATAAATGAATAAACTTAGTCTCCTAGTTCATGATGGATTAAGCAGAACATGAATATGACTATAAGCATGTGGAAGAGACAAAAAAAAAGTCT